TTATATTAATAAAAAAAAAAAAAAAAAAAAAAAAAAAAAAAAAGTATAAAAAAAATAGAAAGAGAAAAAAATTCAAAAGAACAAAAAAAAAATTAAAAAAAAAATAAGGAAAAAAAAAAAAAAAAGTAAGAAGAGTAAAAATAATGATAACGAATAAATTTGACCATTTTTATCCACCAATAAAATATATTCTATATTATTTCTATTTCTATAAAAAATAATAATTTATATTTAATTATATTAATTATAATTTATTAAATATTTAATTTTTTTAACAAGAAGAAATCATTTTCATTTATGATACAAAAAATTCATTATTTTTACTGTATCATCACATTTAATATATATATACCAACTTTAGAAACAATAATTATATAAATTATGTATAATTTATATAATTTGAGAAAAGACAGGCAAAATAAAAATGTTGAAAATATAAAAAAAAAGAATTGCACAAATATAATACATTAATGAAAATATAATAAATATGTATTATTATTATTATTATTATTATTTTGTTATTATTATTATTATTATTATTATTATTATTTATTATTATTATTATTATTATTCACCACTTTGGGTTGAAATTGTATTAGTGTCAATTTTTTGTTCAATAAGATTTTCTTTACTTGCTTCTTTAAGTAAAAATGATATCCACATATCCGAAAATGACTATTATAAAAAATTTAGAATATAAGGAAATTATTATTTAATAAATTCGTTGTAATAATAAAAATAAAATAAATAAAAAAAAATGAAGAATAATAATAAATTTCTGCAAAACTAACCTCGTTTGGTTCATCATCTTCAGATAATCTAATAGTTGATCGAGGTGCATCTTCAGATAATCTACTTCTTGGTCTTTCTATAGTCGGTGTCCATAATCCTGAAGCCCATCTCGCATTGACATTACTATTGTTATTATTATCTATAGGTCTAAATGCCTTCCTTATTAATCCTACTAATTCTTTTTGTTCATCTGTCCATTGTAACATGTTAGCCATTAATTGTAATATTTCATATCGTTTACTATCTCCTCGCGGTGTATTGAAAAATGCTATCAATAAATTGGTTATGAGACGTCTAGTAAAAGAGTGTAAAAGTAAATTGGATAATAAGATAATAATAAGAACTTATGAAATTTTTCTAATACAAAAAAAAAAAATTTATTAGAAATTTATTTGTAATATGCATATTATATATATATATATACATATGTATAAACTTGCATAAGTTTGGTAAATATTACATGATTGATATCATATAACTACACAGATTACAAAGTTGCACTAAATATAAATTTAACTTAAAAGTTTAATATTACTAAACATAAACTTGACTTAAAAGTTTAATATTGAATATAACTAAACTAAATCTAAATCTAAACTTGACTAAGATCTAGATTAGTTTAGGTTTATAAAAACACTAGTTAGAGAAATTGAAGAAGTTAAGAAACATGTTAAGAAAGTTGAAAGTTGTATTAAAGATATTTAAAATATAGTTAAAAAAGTCAAAAGTCTTGTATAATTTTAGCTATAATATAAGCTATAGTAGTTTAATTTTAATAAATCTTTGTTAATTATACTAATAATATAATAATAAATATTGAATATAAAATATAAATTATATAATATTATAAAAATAAAAATATTAATCAAGAACTCTCTCCAATAATCACTTGTGTCAAAATTTCTTACAAACAGAAAACAAAAATTTTTGCTAAAAACAGATACAGAAGTATTATAAAGTAATAGTCAGTATTGTAAAATAATAGTTTTTATAGAAGTTAACCAAAGGCTTTGCTATCTTATCTTATCTTAGAACTCCTTTACATATTTGGTATACAAACCAAGAGCATTCTTATACAAGATAACTAGCAAAAAAAAGTACCTTTATTATATATAAAAAATCTTAGAAAAATCGTAATACTTTTGCTAATAAAGTTTTTTTATAAAAGATTTAAAAAAAAAATAACAAATAAGTTTTTCTTTATACTTGCTGGAAACTTTAAAAATATATGTTCAAACACTTTTTTTTACAACTACCCTTACTATATTTAGATATTTTTTACAAGGTATTTTCTTAATAGTAAAAAAAATAAATAGATTATTCCTTCTAAAAGATCAGTATTATAAAAGCAAGAGTTACAAATCAGTTATATGTAGCTTATATATAGCACATGTAAGAAGAAAACAAATAACAATTTTTTAGCCCCAAAAAAGAAAAATTTCATATAAAAATTCTACCTATTATTGTATTATTAATATATATACTATGTATTAAGTTTAAAGTAGAAATAGATTTAAGAGTAGTAGCAGGTTTACCCGGCAACTCAACTGAAGAGCCAATTTAAATTCTAAATGCAGTAATAGAAGAGGCTAAAGAGCGGAATAAGGAGTTATGGGTCCTTTTTCAGAACATGAAGAAAGCATATAACTCAGTAAACCTCGAGATGTTGCAAAAAGCTTTTGAGAGAATCAAAGTCTCACAGATTATATGTATTTTCATCCTAAACCTGTTCAGAGACAGAAAGCTTAGAATAATTACAAATTTCGGCCTCACTGAAGAGATTATTGCTGAGGATGGTATAGATCAAGAAGAGGTTATTTCTCTCTTGGTCTGGAGAATCTTTTATGATCCTTTGCTTAACAAGATACAAAAAGACAAAGAACTTGGATATACTCTTAAACCATATAACAAAATGAAAACATTGATGGAGTTGGATTATACAGATGAAATTAGACAAGCAGCACTAGCCTATGCTGATGACACAGCCTAGTTAGCAAATTCGAAGCAACAATTAAAGTATATAGTAGCTTTGGCCGAACAATTTTTTATTTTAAATGATATTAAGATAAATAGAAACAAATCCAAGCTATTGGTAGTTAACTTAGGCTTGGCTAAACAGGAAAGGTTTATAAACTTCTGCAATACAAAAATCATGGCAGAAAGAAAGCTTTATGATGTAAAGTATTTAGGTGTTATGCTCCACACCTCAACAGAAATAGGTAATATCAAAAAGAAAGCCAGACAGATAGTAGGCCTTTTTTCGCACTTAATAGGGAAAAAGAAGGTTACAGCAAGCCAATTGGTCTATATAAACAAT